AGGCAGAATCATAACTCGAATTTGAGGAGTTTCTCTACAGAGTGTGGCCATGCACAGCTTCCTCATGCACCTCCAAGCTGTTTTTTTCTTATCTAGGCAAACTATGTATAAATATTAACATATTACTCAGGGGTCAATAATTCCGTGCCACTCCTTCCTGATGCCGCATGGAAGCGGATTCAAGATTGGGGTTTGAAGGACAGCCCTTCAGCCGCACTTCAGGTCAAAAGAATTAAAATAAAGAGGGCGGTGATAGCTTTTAGTTAAGCCGGCCTCAAAAATGAAAAAGCAAGCAGCCTTTAATTGGTGGCTTTAATATAGTGGAGACATAAAAACACTGGCTAAACTCTATAGTAATTGGAATTAAGAAACTCCAATTTGACTTTGAGGGTAGAGCTCCAAGGTAATTGTGTTTTGATGTAATATTTGGTGTGTGTGTGTTTGGCAAGGAAAAAGAATGTATTGCTCTAGAAAGTGTGTTCTTCCCATAGAGGGTCTGACATGCCAGCAGTTGTGGACAGGAGGCCACTGGAAACGGAACCTGTGAAAACAKAGGACTATTCATAAAATTAATATATTTATATTTACTTGTTAAAGCCTTTGCTTGCGATCTGTTTTTTAAAGCTCTGCTGGATACRAAATGCCCACTTCAAAAGCCAAAATGAGGACTTTAACAGATGTGCCCTGGCAAAGGAAAGGGTGTACACACAGCGAGGAATCCAGAAGGGACAGATGGTCATATATGGACACGGGGAAAGGAATCTCAAATAAAATGCTTGTGGCTGGCAGCTTCAGTTCCTGTGTTACCTGCAATGAGCCTCTGTACTTGGGGCTTTGGGGCTGGGCCTATTACTTTTTTCCTTTTTTTTTTTTTTGACTGTAGCTTTTTTGCTGCTTTTTGTCTCTTGCAGTGCCAAATTCTACTGTTTTCCACAGACCATTAGATACCAGAAAAGGCTAAATGGAGGAGCAAATTTAAACTTTATTTAACAGAGAATTTTGACCCTACTTCAACCTTAAATGCACTTTTTGAAGATGAAAAGCTTCAGGCCGTAAGATTTGGAGCAGGTGAGAGCACCAGTGTTGCATGCACCACCACTAAGGGAAAGCCTGACASTCCCTACTTGTTTGCCAGGCGTCTCAGCAGCCCGGGGTGTTTGCAGGTGGTGGGACTGTTACCCCTTGCACAGTGAGTGTTGAAAATACCCCTCTGTGCGTGATCAGATGTGCAGGGTCCTGTGGATGCCTGTACTAGGAGGTGGTTTTTATCTCGAGCTTAATTCCAAGTGTGTTAATTTGAGGTTGTTAACACATTTGTAGAGATTAGATCAGGCCCTAGCAAGGTGCTAGTGGCTCACTGTAGGGCTGTGGTGTCCCCCCTTGTGCCTTGTGTCCTTTATGAGCTGCTGGTGTTCATGGCAAGAYACTTTATTGCCTGCAAAGATAGGAAACCTCTCACCAAGGAGTGAGTCCCTAGGCTATTGACAGCCACCTCTGTCACTTACCAGGCATGTGCAAACTACATAAAGATATAGTGTAAGAGCTATTGCAAGATTTTGAAGTCAAACCCTCAGTTACTAGGGAAATCCAGAATTAAGGTGCTTATGGAGCCATTGTGAAGTGCCTGAAYCGTTCCTGAGCGCCCTGCTTTTACTCCCATGCTCACAAAATGCTTTTTCCAAAGGACTCCCACCTCACACACCCGCAGGACTAAAGCATGTCAAGGAATATGCAAAGCCTTTGCGGATCAGACCTCGGGGGAGTGACCAGAGCTGCAGGAGGGTGAGTGAAGGTGCAGGGCTTGGGGTGGGTAAGTTRCCCTGTATCAAACAGGAGCATGGTGACAGAAAGGGCAAAATTCCCATTTCCCATAGAGGTAGCTGTCTGCCCTAACCACGATGCTGTACCCAAAGTATCATCTAATTTGTATAACAAATAATGATGAGGTCTTACAGGCAATTTTATTTTGGGGGGGCTGATTTAAATAGACCTGCAGACAGAGGCAGGTCTGCAGATATAGGCATATTAGCCTACATGTGTGAAGTATCAGGAATTTTCAGCAAAGCATCTTTTTATTGGCTAGGTGTTTGTTTTCTCATGTGCGGAGAATAACTGCGTTGCTCTGAAAGGAATAGTCTTGTGTTTCACAGCGCTGAAGTTACCTCTGAAGTCCTTAACTCAGAATGACCTTGCTTTTTCTGTGACTCACCCTGAATGTTATTTTCCTGTAGGTTTGTTCTGAGTGGTTAAGATAGGCTTGCCTGTAAGCGTTGTTCTACGTATACATGCATTACCTTAACCAAGGAAAGCTCCCACACCTTCCCTTGTTTATGCGTATTATAGGTGACACAGATTGAGAGTTAAATGTCACAGTCCTTATTTACAAGTTAGCATGTGAATATAACCTACTTTTAAACTTTCTCCTCCCTTTCTCAGTTGCCTCTTGCCCTTCAGCACCGCTACTTGTGTAATGTGGAACAAATGGAGATGAGGAGGTTATGGCCCTCTTAGCTGCTCTYGTGAACCCAGATATGCAACAGATTTTACGGGTTATCTCTATCTTTTTTTGGCTAGATAGCAAAATTCTCTTTCACAAGTAGCTAATGCCCATAGAGAAAAATCTRCTCAATATTCCAGCATCTCGGTGTGACACAGGGGCAGGTCACTAAAAGCTGCTCCTTGACCGCTCCCTGATTTTTCCAGCTTGCCACAACTACATGTTAAAGCAGCCGGGAGCTGTTTCGGCAGGATCTGGGCTCCTGAAGAGCCGTCTCCAAGCTGGGATGCAGCTTGCTCTGGTCACGCTGCCTCCAGGCTGCCTGTCCCAACAAGCCTCTGCCAAAGGGCTTTTGCAGGGAGCCCATACTTGAAAGTACAGATGGTATTTAATATACCAAAAAGTGTGCAAATTCTGTTTCACTTTGTTCACATACTCGGATTATTCTCCAAAGGTAAGACAAAACTTTTTTCGTTAATGGAAGCTACACTTAGTTAATCATCAGATAGCAGGAACTATGCCTTTCCAGAAGATGAACAYGCAGCAAGTCAATGACAGCAGCTGCAATCAGTAGTTTGGACATGTTGGTTTTATATTAATTATTTGTTGAGAATATTCGCTTTGGTTTTAGAGGTGCTGAGCAACTCCTTGCTCAAATGAAACTGGGATCATCTACAGAGGCTCAGCATCTCTCTACTTCAGGCATCTCAATTTAGGCAGTCAAAAACTGGGTCAGGGCAATGATCCAATATTCTAGTGGTGAGCCTCCAAAATCCAAGACACTCGGGGAATGTGTGTTGGGGAATAGTATGTGAATGTTTAAAGAAGAAGGGGGAAAAAGTTACTTTCTTCCCAATATTGATAGCTAAAATGTGGTATTTTTCAATGTGGAATTAAAAATTGCTGTTTTTAAAATCCCTGTGAATGCCAAGGCAGTTTCCTCTGGGCTTCAGACGCCGTCTGAACCTATCAGGTTGGTAACTCGCCACAAGGTGATTTGCGTGGCTGGCACGGGAAGGCGCTTGGATCGCACGGGCTTTCGAGGAGTCTCCCCAGCAGGCCGTGCCGGAGCCGGCAGCGGGGAATGCGGATTGGCAAGAAGCTGCACGTCTGCGAGGAGCAGCCCCGCAGGCTTCCCAAAGCCGGCAGCCCGTCTGGGAGCCTGTGAGGGAGCTGGGAAGCTAAGCAGATGCCAAAAATTGGGAGCTTTTTACCCCAAAAGTGTTTAGTTGCCATTTTCCTGTCTGGCTGTTGGGGGCAACTGAAGGAAGGGGACTCCAGAGGTGGCCTCCAAGCTCCTAGCTTCTCATGAGGCTGCATGTCCATGTGCAGGGTGGTGTTTTCTGGGGGATAATGCACTTTAGATGTGTGAAAAAAAGTGTATTTTTGTGGCTTTTCATTATGAGGGGGAGGATGCTGGAGATGGAGGGCAGAGCGAAAGGCTTCTGGATCCTGAGACCACTAGAGAAGGACTGGAAAGTTACCTGGATCCCATCCTGCCTTGGTTGAAACTGAACCCTTGCTACAAAACAAGGAGAATTTGCACAAAAAAATGCTGTGCTCTGACAAAAATGTTCCATCTGAGAGCTGCTGCCCTGGGTGGGTAGCAAACAGCTCAGGAGTGTAATTTGTGTCTGATACGGGGCAAAAACTAATTGGGTACCAGGCCCCGGGGTGGGAGGATGAGGGAATGGAACGGCAAACTAAACGGGTCAAAACAAAACAGAAATTTAGATTGTTGTCTCTGGCTGGCTGGCTTTGGACAAGTTACGATCTCCACGTGAATAAAAAAAAATAAATAAAAAAAATACACATAAAACTTTTCTTTTTTTTTCACAGAGAAGAAGAAATAATAAAATAGTTGCCCACTGCAGCTGGGGCCTTGCCCTTCCCTGGCAGGATGGTGCTGAGGGCAGGGGTCCTTGCCATCCTTCTTTGGGTAGGATTTCACCCTTTTCCCAAATTTGTTGTTTTTGGGGGGGTTTCTGCTTCTCCTCCCACCTCGGTAGGGCTCTGGGAAGGGGGTTCTCCGTGTGGGGAAAGGGGAAAGCGGCTCCCGGTGCTTCCCGCCTCGTGGGTGCGGGAAGGCGGCTGAGGCAGCGGGCTTGGGGGGGGGGGGAAGCGGCTTACAATCCCCCCCTTCCTTCCCCTCAAGAAAGACTTTTAAAAATAAAGGAAATAGGGAAAATAAAGGCGAGCGCGCAGGGAGGGGGAGGCGCGGAGGAGGGGAGCGCAGCGGCCGCGGGGCCGCCCTCCGCCGGCGGCGCGGGGAAGGAGGGGGTGGGAGCCGCGGCGGGCCGGCCGGCGGGCCCATTTGCATGAGCGGCAGACTGGGAATGAGCCGCGGTGGGCGCCGCTGCGCGCAGGCAGAGCGGGGCCGCCGGCCGGGGAGGCGCGGGGAGCCGGGCGAGGGCGGCGAAGTGGGCGCAAAGTTTGCGCGCGAGGCCGCGGGGCGCCGCTGAGGCCGCGCGGAGCGGAGCGGGGAGGCCCGCGCGCGGGCAGCATGTCCTCCATCCTGCCGTTCACTCCTCCCATCGTGAAGCGGCTGCTGGGCTGGAAGAAAGGCGAGCAGAACGGGCAGGAGGAGAAATGGTGCGAGAAGGCGGTGAAGAGCCTGGTGAAGAAGCTCAAGAAGACGGGGCAGCTGGACGAGCTGGAGAAGGCCATCACCACGCAGAACATCAACACCAAGTGCATCACCATCCCCAGGTCGGTGCGGGGCCGGGGGAAGGGGGCTCGGCTTCCAGGGAAAAGCTGCAGAAATCCCGGAGCGGGGAACGTCTCCGTCGGGGAAAGGGAAAACAAACAAAGTTGGAGGCTCCGCGTTGTGGCCCCGCTCGCCGCGCCGCCCTCCAGGCCCTGCCGCTGCGGCGCCCAGGGGGCTGTGCGCTTGTTTTTGTTATTTTCTCCGTTTATATTATTTGTTTTTAATCGGGAAAATGTTTTTTTGGGGGGGTTGTTTGCTTTATTTGCAGCGGTCTGGCCCGCTCCCGCTCTGCGGCGCTGGTTGGCAGCCCCGCTGCACGCCTGTTTTCCACATTACTCCAGGCGCGCAAGTGGCGGAGCGGGGGGGCATTGCTTGCCATGCAAAATAAACCCCCCYCAAAACGGTTTTATTTTATAGGAATAATTTCAGGATGTGCACAGCAAGCTGTTTTTTCAGTTTTTGCCTTAACGCAGGACTTATTTTTAGCCTCGGCGCCGCAGTCGAAGCGCGATCGGCATCGCCGTGCTCGTATCTAAGAAAGAAATTCCAAGAAAGTTCCAAAAAGCAGCCCCCAAGCAGTGTTTTATTGCTGCGGATTTGCTGGTTTGTGTGAGCCCAGCCAGAGCTCTGCCCCGTCTGCTGCTGACCATTGTGTAGGGGAGTTTGTTTTATTTATTTATTTAGAAAAAAAAAAATCACAGGCCAAAGTTCATCCCAAATATTTGAATGCTGCATAATTGCGCTCTTCTGTGTGAGAAAATATCTGTGTGTGTATGTGTGTTCGTGCCTCCCTCTCGCCCAAACAAATGTATGCTTTCTTGGTTGTCAGAATGATTTAATATGCGGTAGCTAATACAAAGCAGCATCTGTTGCATGAAAAAAATGAAGCAGGCAGCTCAGAAATGTGGATATTCGGCGCTCCTTTTTTTTTTCTTCTTCTTCTTTTTTTTTTTTTTTTTAAACAACAGCTAAAGTTTTAAAGGAAAAATAAAGTCTCATCTTTTTTTTGGTATCGAGTGACGGTGTTGAAGGTTTCAGCTCCAGGTTCTGCTTTTGTTAATAGTTTTTCTGGCCTCTCGTAGTTGAAGCAGGGCTCAAAGCCTGCTGAGCTACGCCCTGGTGCATACTCCCTTAAAACTCTGTTTTGGAGTTCTTGGTAAGCAGTGGGCTTTCCTCATAGACGGTGTGCTATTTAAATCGTTTCTCTGAAATATATGCCTTTTTAAAGAAAAAAAGGAAAAAAAMCTGAAGTCCTGCAGTTGCAATGTGTTGTATGTTGTGTTTCAGGTTGCAATAGAGTTGCTGATGCTGCCCTGCTAGAGAGTGGCGTGTGAGCTTAACTTTGCTAGAAACAAGGTGTTTTAGGGAGGCAAGTCTGGATATTTTCTGATTCAAAAGAAGCAGAGAGACTGCTGGGGTAGGAAGCTTTAATTTGGAGAAATAATCTTAGTGCTTGAGAATAAGTAACCACACAAGCAGACGTCACAGGTTGTAAATATTCTCACCTCACAATGTTCTGGCTATTGTTCTCTGGGCAGGAGCAAGGGCCGCTCTCTCCCAGGCCTCGCTMTGTTAAAGGAAATCAGTACCAAAAGTAAAACACTTCATGTTCGCTTGTGAGACAGTGTCTAAACCTTCAGATCTTAATCTTTTATACTGAGGAAGTGTCAGCCTATTTCAATGGTAGGTCCATGTGCCGTGGTATTAGTTTTTAAACCTTCTAACTCATATGTGGTTTTATTTATGTTTTTATGCATAAACCGTCAGTTAAGCTGTGCTGTGCTGGGCCCTGTGCAYGGATCTAGCATGAGGTTCAAGTCTAGCTATCCGAGAAGGGGAATGGAGTGGAAATGGGAAGCAGCTGCTCTCGGAGYCAGCAGCAGAGCTGTGGTCGTGGCCAGGCCTGGAGAATTCAAGCGCAGTGTCTTCTCCACCGGACTGCGCTGTTTGTCCTCGTGTGTTCGTGACTGTGATTATCTCATCCCTTGAAATTAGTGCCTGCAGGATGGTTTTGCTATGGGCTTTGTGTTTTAAAATAATTCTGCATATGTTGTTTTGCTATTTAGGCAAATAAGTGCATTGAGGGGACAAAAGGGGAAAACCATCATTGAGGATTAGCTCATGTTGTGCATCAGTAGGCTGAATTACAGTGGAGCTCTCCCAGGGATGACTCTGGCCCCACGGGAGTAGGTCTAGTCCAAAATTAGCCATTATAACCGTGAGACGAAGCAAGGATTCGGGTGTAAAAGTGCTCGAGCCCTTCAGGAACGTTGCTAAACAGCAAGTGAGCTGGAATCTCAAAACCTGGTAGTGACCCAGTGGGGTTGTGTGGGTTAYGTCCCAAGTGTTCTGTAAGATAAYGCGGCTGATGAGAGTTTGGGCCCTGGGTTTTCTGTTGAGGGAACCAAGTCCAGCTTTCTCTCAAGGGGAACTTCCCACCATATGGAAAGGGAATCTCAAAGCTCAGAGCTCTCCCTTGGGATCAAGGCAGGTGAAATGTGGTCTCCTCTTGCAGACCCTTACTTTCACTACACAGAAATCCACGGATAGCAAGTCAGTTAGTAGGTCCAAGGAGATGGTGTTGCCCTTTGCCTGGGCACAGAAGGGAGGTCTGGGCATTAATCAGCAGATCTGCCTTCACATCCAGTTCCCATGCGCCAAGCTGGTGGGTTTTGGTGTTATGAGCTGACCTAGTGAAGCTAGTTACCCGTGTCTGATGGCAGTAATACATTTTTTCATATTACACTGCAGTTGAAAACACATGTTCTTTCTGTCCATCCATTAACACATGTCCTTCCCAGGARCTGAAAGCCTGGGTTTCAGGATGGAGGCTTTTATCACCTTTCAGATAAGCTGAAGGACTCTGTGCCATTAACACGGACCCCAGCGCAGCCAGGGGGTCGGTATTAGGCCCTCTGCGAGCAAGCCTAAATCTCCAGCTGCTACCAGTTGCTTTCAGATTATTATTATTATTATTATTATTATTATTATTATTATTATTATTATTATTATTATTATTTATTACTGTTATTATTATTATTATTATTATTATTTAATTTCCCGATGTTTCTGCCTGCTTCTGAGGCTGTGGAGTGTGGTGGGCATCTGGTGGCAGGAACATCTATAGCTAACCTTAATATGTACCTGCACAGAACGCACGTGTCCCACGGACTTTGTCCTTGGGAGAAAGTTCCTTAACACTCTCGCTGATCTAGAGCAAAGCTCCATCGTGCACCTGGCAGTGTCGGTGATTTGCCCCAGAAATAGGGTGTTTTAGGCTGGCCTTTTATATACGTTATACAACAAACATATCTTTCTGAGCTGTAGAGGCCAGGAGCACGTGATGAGCGTTTACTAATTTCTGGAAGACAGCAAATGCTTTGTTTCAAGAGCCTTAGTGGTACTACATATATTAAGATGTAAATCTCATGACATTCTCTAGTATATTTTCATATACATACTCTTTGTTTGAACCTTTTTTTTTTTAATTTCTATTTCTTTAATCACCAATGGTTTCAGGAGAGCCGAGCTACTCCTATATAAGAAATAACCTTTTAAGTGGTGTTTTTTTTCCCCTTTGATTAAGAAGAGAGCTTTGAAGTGTTGTGGGTGTTACTTCTTGTGGAACTCATTTGATAAGAATAGAAGGTGCCAACTGCAATGGAAATGTGGCACACTTGCTTTTTGAAGGAGGCTGAGCAAGGGACGCGTTAGGGTGTTTGAGCTTTGGTGGGGAAAGCCAAGGGTGATACGTAGGTGGCTTTAGGAAGACCTTAGGTTCTGTTGTGTCCRTCACTGACCATGCAATCTTTACAGGAATTAACTGTCTTCTTAGGATCCTTTTAATACCAAGAAAACACGAAAATGACAAATACTGCAAGTAGCAGAGGCAGCCTGCGAGCTGCTAATGTACGGGTTTCTTTTGAGAGCAGTTTCGGTAACAAAATCAAAGAGCTAGTCGTAAGTTTTGTATCTGCACACCAATTCGTATTGGTTTGTGCCAGCTTTGAACTRTCTTGTTCTTAGTTTAGCTTGTCCCTTTAGGGCACAAGGCTCAATATTACTTAGGCTTGCTTAAGTGTGTCTGTATCTGAGATTAAATGGGCCCGAGAGCAGTACACAGAGGTGCCTGCAGGGCAGTCCCAGCGTGCAGACCTGGTCTGGCTGTCGTTAYTCCTGTTGCTGCTGATTTTCCTGCTTCAAAGCTGTGCGTGCTGCCCTGCATCCTGACCTGGCTTTATGGGCTGGGTTTTATAGCCCCACTTTAACCTTTGTGCTGCCACCTCCGTGCTGCTCGCCATGCCCACATTCAGCAGAGTAGGCAAAGCTTCACAAATCTGCTCAAAAATAGCGTTTGTGGCATGAACGTGACTGCAGATCAGGTCTAAAGATGGACAAATATTAACCAGAAGGACACAGGGCTGTCGTCCGGGGTGTTTTCTGCTTGCAGTTCCATTTCTCCAGCAGTGCTTCCTCCTTGTCCCCTCCGGAAGGGTCTGATCCTGCCTTGGGGCAGTGCCACGTGCTCAGAGGTTCCCAATACCCACAGCCCTCTCCTGCATCAGGATCGCTGCCCCTTGCATTAGCCTGACCAACAACATGTGGAGTTGATTTCAAGCCCACCTGATGCAGCTTTGTAAAACAAAACCCCGCCACTAAACTTGCCAGATAACGTAGATTCAGGGAGCTGCAACACAGCCAGTTCCCTTGGCAGAAATAGGAGCTGCAGGAAAAAAAGGAGGTTGGGGCGGAAGGAGCCACCTCCTTGGCTCGGGGTCGGCGCTTGGCTCGAAGCAGGAGCAGGTCCGACCTGGCCCTTTGCGGGACGTCCATGTGGAATGTCTCTCTCAGCAGAAAGTGCGTGTCAGAAACGTGCAGAAATTATTTTGGGGGAGCTTGTGGGGTTTTTGTTTCTTCTGTTTTGTTTTTTGCCTCTTTGGGAAATACCAGGTAACATTTCACATACTTCACAGTGGTTAAACAGACGTGAGGAGTGTTCATG